TTGTAAGAATCTTTCCGAATTCATCCGCCACAAACTGCCGCACCTCAGATGACGGTGTCCCATATCTCAGCAGGGCCTTGCCTGTGCCCAACTCGTCTTCGGTTAGACGTCGACTGACTGGAAGCCGATCGTACAGAAACTTTGACAGTTTGTGGTTGTGTTCCAGAAAATAAGAGGTCACTGCCAGTTGGTTCCCTTGCCTCCGTAGACAAAACCGCACTGGACAGCTGGTGCTTCGCGTACATTTTTTATTGGAAAATACGCTCGACTTACTAGCTTCTTCTGATTCCACGGCTTTCCTTGGTCTTGGGGGCGCCTGCTGCACTTGTATTACACCCATTCGTAACGCAAAATAGCGTTGGTGCTTCGATTACTGGATGAACGCACAAATACCACAAAATCATCCTTCATGTATTCATTTAAGGTCTTCTCAAATGCCGTGAACGATGACAACGATGCGCCCACAAATTTCTCAACGAAAGCCACTTCCGAAGCCATAGCAGACGAAGTTCAAAGCCGAATGTGGGCCAATAACTTTCAAAAGAGATCGATTAAAACAAATCGCAAAAAATGACGGTAGATGAGGGGTATTTTCAGTCTGAGCATATATTCAAATTAGTGCAACATTTTGACGTTGAATTTTTTATTTCGGCCGCATTTTATTTTACAGAAGAATGAATTATGATGCTAGGCGCTGTCATGCAACAGGCGGCATATCCTAGAGGGTGACGCCTACGTTCTAAACGTAATCTGTCGAATCACGGTATATGCATTCTCTCTCGTTTTGATGCTCTTGCGTCGGCGACCGCCAAGTCTGCCGTATGAATGTGTCGGAACAAACTGTTGCGACAGGCGGCAAATCCTAGTAGGTGACGCCAACGTTCTAAACGTAGTATTTCGAATCCCGGTATATGCATTCTCTCTCGTTTTGAGGCTCTTGCGTCCGCGACCGCCAAGTCTGCCGTATGAATGTGTCGGAACAAACAATGTGAGGTCAGGCTACGTAAACTAAATTATAGTTTGTGGTGCAAAAACCCACATGCTGCCAGACTGTCGACACCTGCGCTGGAGAATGCACATGTCCATTCTACCAGGCGACGTGGCTCCCCTGCGTACACCTGTTCTCTGTATTTCGAGATCAGTCCGTTCCGAGCAGTAAGAACTATTCATCGTTGACTTTTTCTTAGCTTGCTTCCCAATTCACCAACGATGGATGTCGGATTACAACCTACCGGAGAAAGGTGTACCCCTTACACTTGTTTCCAAACCACCGCCGACAGCTTTCGACGGCCTTCGTAAACAAGTGAATCAAGTAATGGAGAAGCTTCAGAAGCTGAAATTCAGGAGGGACGCAGCCATATTCAAGCGGTTGATTGTTCAAGGACAAATCCTGCTTCATCAAGCCTCGAAGTCTGCAGCAGACGATCTGCCGTTGATGGTCGAGGATACTGCACCTCACCCCAAGTGACGGTCTGGAAACGCCCACTTGTGGTTTCGTGTGCTGTGTGACCGGCCGACTACTACCGGTGACCGCTGGTGTGCAATGGATGGATGGATTAATTAGGCATCGTGTACCCTAGCCGCATGTTAGTGGTGTGCGTCGGGTAAGTTCGTTCAGCTGTCCAGTATTATCGACGTAGGCTCTATGTGGCTAGTTAGTTAGGCATCGCGTACCCCTAGCCGCATTTTAGTCGTGCGCGTCGGTTAGGTTCGTCAGGCTGTCCGCTTTGATTGACGTATGTTCAATGTTCCTAATCGAGAAAAACTCGAGGTCTTCCTAGCATGATCTGCAACCTATAATGAAAAAAATCTGGTTTTTGCCAGAAAACGTGCATGATGTTTAGCAAATAATTAACGTGCACTACGGAATTTTTACTAGCGACAAAGATTCATCGACCAAAATTTAATTTCACGAAAGCGCCTACGCATAGGTTGCATCTCCGAAGGCCGTTTAGATTCTAGAATGTCGAGGAAATCTTTTCCGGTGGAAAAATACCTGAAAGTTATGTTCATTGTATGGGAGTCAGCCACAATTCGCGATTTTTTACCATCAGGTAACGTATTCACGGTCGGCGGTGTTTATTCTCCTGGAGATTTAGTTCACTTTAACAAATTGCCAAAGTAAGTGTTTTTCAATAATACAGGAGCATATACATTATACATAGACATTCTACACTGTGAAGTGGCAAGTCTGAAAACGCCGTAGATTTCGAGAAATCAATCTCATTGTGCGAATATCCAGCGGCTTTTGTGGGCGAACTTTATTGCAGAAACAGACGCTTTCCTGTAAACCTGCTGCCTGGAGGGTGCCAATCGGATATCCAGCTGTTGCGCTTCATTTGCTTGGACCAAAAATCATGTAAATATCGCTTCCTGTTTTAAGCATGTAGTGCCAAGTGAATTTTCGGTAGAGTATCTCCAGCCGATCTACTTGGTCGTTGAATTTCGGATAATGCCATGAGCTACGCGGACTCTGATATCACTGAAAAATAAAGCCGCAAGTGCAACGGCTATCCATTAACCGGGATAAATCTATCTTTCCCAAAAGCTTTTGAACTTGCCAAGAGTACACACAGCTTGTGTAGCCAAACTCAGCCGGCCATAAGCACTTTTAACCACACCGAAAATGCACAGACCATAGTCAGAAACGAAGTTATTCCCCTGGATATGAGAATTCAATTGAATTTCTTTCTTCGAACGCCCTTTATGATAGATATCCATTCCACCTGGCATGTGCTCTGCATCTGGATTAACCCTCAATCGAACCGAAACTGCTTTTGATCCTACATAGGCTTTGTTCTACTTTTGCGGACCCACTTGGACGACCCCAAAAACCCTGCTCCTGGAATCGCATATCCTCAACCCGACCATCTCAAAATTGACATTCGTAGCGGTGCAGTTTCGAAACTGAGTGCTCCTATGATACTGCCATACCAGTCTGACAGATCAAACGCGACTATTCTACTCTCTTCTTGATTGTGTTCTCTCGCGCATTCGTTCCTTTGCTCGCAACTGTGAACAAATTCATAACCAGTCCCCAGTTGCACCTGGGGTAAAGTCGTTCAAATCAGCTGAACCCTCGTTCGGATCTATTCATCTCGGTGGATTTTCAGTTTTTGTTCTTCACAAGGCCAATCGTCTTCTGTATAGTTTGCGTTCTGTCGTGTACGCTGGCGTGAACTCATCCCCAAAGGAACTTTTACAAGCGGCTCTGCTCCAAGAATGGCGCCATTGAGTCTACACAGTTCCACCATACACCGTGATTCTGATATTCAGGCTGACATATACCCGTTTTTCTGTCCCTCTACTCCGTCATCATCGCTTAAGTGGCAGGTGGCTGGCCTATCAGAGCCGTATCGTGCCTCGGGTGGATGATGCGCTAAAATTCGGTAGAGGCTTTGCAGCGTCATTTCAGGATCCAGTTCAATTGCTTGAAGCAGCTGCGTTCCGGTGTCAGCACCTCGGGACAGGTGGAGACTTGATACAAGAATGAGACACTTAAACTGATTCTCCGTTATTGAGCTGAGCTTGAAGCGCTTGCATATCGCCGGACAACACCGGAAAGCCTGATGAAATGGCTATCGCCTTTTTTGACCAACTTGGTAACAGATACTCAACAGTGATGCCCGACCTCGGAATATCAGGGAGATCAGTTGAGGAAACGGAAGAATCAAAATTACTGGGGGCTGCTGTCTTGATACGCAGTCTCTGAGTCAGTGAATCATTGAGCTTCACCTGCGCCTCTTTCAACTGTTTTGCTGCTGCTATATTTCTCGGAGTTGATTAAATTCCATTGCCATGGTGACCATCCGGTAACAACATTATTCTCACCCTAGTTCACGGATTGAATCTCCAAAGCTAGCGTTCTCACACAAAAAAAGCAACCAACAAAGGTAATTGGGAGGAACAACCCCAAACCAAGAAACCCGGGTGAAGGCCTCGATCATGTGTATTGATCCGTGAACAAATGGAAAATATATATCAACGTATAAATTAGGTAAAAAGCACTTGTACAGCGCGAATTACATAAAGTGTATTCCGCGACAACATTCCGAACATTTGGACCCAATATGGATACGCGACGGAAAAACGCTGCTGGATATTCGCACAATGAGACTGTGTTCTCGAAATCTACGNATTTTCAGTCTGAGCATATATTCAAATTAGTGCAACATTGTGAATTTTTATGTTTCATTTCACCCGCAGGGGGTTTGCAGAAAAATTCATTGTGCTTCGAGCCTCTGTTCTGACGACCCGCATTCGGCGACACAGCGATGCCCAGCCCCGATCCGTACCGATTCGTGAATACTGGATCAGTAGGAAATGGGGAAATGTAACATTGATTTGCAAAACACCTCAGGTCCACCCGCCTGACCAATCAGAGCTCGATTTCGCGCCGAACTTTCATTCCCGAAATTCTGGCCACGGGATATGGCTCTTGGCAATAGGAGTGAGAACGTTCAGCTGTAGACTCCCTTTGGTTCCTAGCTGCCATACCACCAGAATGAAGCACGAGGGCTGGACTCCTGACAGGTTGTCCAGGCTAAGACAGGGGGAGTCGAGAGGCAGAGGTCGGGTTCGAACCACGGGCCTTTCGCGTTCTAACCAATGAGCCATATCGGCCGTAGCAGCGCCTAACTGCTTGCAGTAAATCGGTATCTATGCGGAATTCCGCCCAACGCCGGTAGTATCAGTCTTGGATGTGAGCAATTAAAATTACCTGCCATGACGAAAGACCATTTCAACTCTCTGGCTCTCATGCGGCCTTCAGTGAGATTCAGAAAGTGATATCATAACTAGGCTGTTGAACAAGCTTAAACGGTCTCTTGAAGAAACGCTGCAGGCCATTACGAATCTCGATGTTTGATTGACGAGTACCCAACCCTGCTTTCAGTATCGCCGAGGCGGTCTCGAGCTGACGCGCAACCAAAGTACTTCTGGGCTGTTACATTCCAACAGCTCTGGTGGCTTGACTCGAAGATCTCCTGAGACCCACCTTTCTTGGTTAAAAAGCGTCAGAGTTCATTTGTTGCCATCCACAGCGAAAATTGGCGTTTGGTAGGTGACATTATTCTGGTGAAAATTACATATGATGTTATGGATTTACCTTACTCCCCAGGCCAAAAGTGTCATGTAGGGGACAGGTCAGGTTGGGCTGATCAGATCGATTGTTCACTTTGTGCCATGCTTCCTTGTCTTTGACTTAAAAGTCGGGGGCGAGATGACCCAAGTGGTTAGAGCGCGAATTTACTGACCGGAAGGTCCGTGGTTCGAACCCGATCTCTGACTCTCGACTTCTCCTGTCTAGACTTGGGCAACCTGGCAGTATCCCAGCCCTCGTACAACCTTCTGGTGGCATGGCAGTTGGGCACCTAAAGGGTGCTACAGCTGAACGATTTTAAGGTCGTCAATCTAAATCAGTTTGACTAGCGTTTCGTAATGTTTAGATTGAATTTGAGTTGACGTAGAATCTCTGTGTGACCCTTTCAGCTAATTATGGTTAATGCGAAAAGTAGTGATAATCACCCTGGCGCAAGAGTAGATTTTCCTTATCGTTTATTATTCGTTATCATTGTTCCTTCCCCCAACAGGCTTCGTCTTTGGAGGCTTAGCTGACCAACTTCCTATGTGGAACCACCATTCTTTGTGTACGTTTCTTCTAACGTCATGTGCGATTCTGACGTGCTTTTCACAATCGAACAATGTAATGGGGGACATTTACCACTATTTCTCAGAGCAAAGCACTTCTCATTGCTCACGGCGCTTGAACGTAACCGGACAAATTGGTTGTTCCAGTCGACTGCAAAGCAGTTCTGGTGTTGCTTTGTTTGTTGAGCATGCCGACGAAGTAACTGACTTCTTGAATGCGGAAAACGTTGCACCGACGGTTTTAGTTATGCAATATTCCCTTTTCTTGAATTCGTCTCTGATGAGCGATGTGCGTTCTTACTCTGAACGTACTGTTGGTTTGGTCGTTCTGTTTCAAAAAATTTCGAAAAACAAACATCCGGTACCATTTTCTGAGTCGGATGAGTGTCCAAACGCGCTCTACAGTCACTATGGTGCGGAGCGTCAATGCAATGTCACTCCCGCTTGGAATCCTCATGGTACGGCTTATTCCTCCATTGAATGGCCTTTCCCTGTGGTACTCATACGGACTTCCGACACCTCCATCGAAGTAAGGATGTGGTTAATGCGGCGTAACTAGTTCAGTCAGAACTTTTCAGATGTTACAAGCAATTCAACGCTAATCCTGTGGATGACACGAGGTGCCTAATTGAGATAAGAAACGTCATGTCGGCTGTCAGTTCATCTGCTCTATGTATTCGCCGAGAGTCGTTGATGGGACTCCCGATTTTTGAGGTGTGTTTGAGTTTCAGTTTTGATTTTTCACTCGTTTTTCACTTCATTATTAGAGACTGACCTATATTGTTTATCTTTTATATTAGCTAAGTGTCGTTGACGGAATTCAATTACTTACCTCAACGTATTCGAATGTGTCATATCCAATCCTCCAGATCCGGCAGAAGTGTGCCTTTCAAAGGACTGAAACTTAAAGAGGTTCGCATCACTACCGTATTGTTATAAGTGGTACGACATGCTGCATGTGAATGAGTACGCGCCTAACCCCAGGACTGAACGAGCTCACCCTAAAGTATGGAATTAAGTTGCTTGAGTTTGCCTTGTCCATCAGATAAATATGGAAACCCATTAAACACCAATATAGTTGAAACCTCTGGGTCTCAGCGTTAGGGATAATGGAGATCAGTTACCTCATCCCCTACAGAACACTATACCCTTTTAATATCTTTATATTAAAACAGCGAAATACATCATCTGACTTTCCCAGAGCAAATAAAGTCATGAGTTGGATTTGTACCTACCTAAGAAATGTAATGATACGAATGTATTCGCCCACCGATCACATCGAAAAGATTCTGAAAAAGCTTGTTCGTCCTTTTGTCGTTTGTTTCTGGATTAGACTTCTCGAAGTTTTTCAGATGGAAGCAGACTGTGGGCTGGAGTATAGACAGTCTGCACTAAAGAACCGCTAGATATTCTAAACAAACGCAGATAAGTAATCTAAGTCTTTCATGATACAATTCTCGATTAGGATGGTCTGAATTTCCGCCCAGTAATGGAGCTGTGCTTGATTTTAAACCCCATCGCCCTGCGGCAAGTGATAGAAGAAAACCATCAGCTGAAGTGAAGCATGAATTTCTGTAGCGTCACAAAGAGAAGACATCCAGGAGCAGCGTAACACTAGAAAGATTTAACTGATACACCCAGAACTTTTTTCAGCGGCAGCTCAACTGTTCTTCGCATCCGAAGCATTAAGAACCCCATCGATGAAGGCGTTTGTTCTACTGAAGACAACCTGGCAGCTTGCATGCTCTTGTGATAAAAGTAGCACTGAATCCACCCAGAGCCGAATGGCGACAAAGCGTTCTCAAATGGTTTGGGGCTGTTACGCTCAAAAAGCTACGCTTGATAACGATAGTTTGGATGTTACGTCTAAGGACTCTATTCGTAAGGATCTTGTACAGCTCTGCGAAATATGAACCTGGTACTTTTCATGTGGGTTACGCCCAAGGGCGAAAGTTCCATAGAGACCTACCTGGTGGGATCGGAATACGCAAAATCTGGTTCATTTGGAGGGTGGTATGTTTGACACTCAAATGTGTTCTTGTCGCAGTTATCTCCTTCAAATCAGTAGGCTTACCCTACTGTTTACTTGTCCCTAAACCTGCCATAATACACTATCGTTTGATGTGTATGTGTATGACGCACCAAACGTCAGTAATAAAGTCTACTACTCTTTGGCCACAGCCTGACTTACTTTCCTACATTATCTCAGAAGGTTGGCATGATGCAGTAATTGTCTAATCAAGTAAAGTCAGAGGACGTGGGTAAGACACACTTACAACTTTTCTCGTCCTCTGTATATATCATAACAGTATCAACATTTTCCAAGTTACGTTAGGTTCACTGACGATGAGTTACTAGAGTTATGTATACCTCAGCAGTTATCAATCTTAGGTAGCATAGCCACATCCTGAGACTAAAGTCCTTTGAATATCCTACGGTAACCTTCTGAACAGGGGACTGTCTTGGCCTCTGTCACTCCAAGCTGACCTGGAATCCGCATATTTGTGTACTTAAGTGCAGTTTGCTTAGCTGATTCCCCTCACATTCCGTAGTTGTGAGTATCGCGTGACCTGATTTTCTGGTTGTTGAATCTCTCCGCACACCGGATGATAGCACATGAGTATAAATGTCTTTGGTGTATCCTACTCATCTGATGCGCCTTTAGTAACTAGTGTGAACAATTCTTTAAAACACATTACTTTTTTTATACCTGAAACTGTCTAATTTTCATGTTATTTTGGTATATGCTTCCTATTCAGTCACCCATAGTCTACTGTGACGAACTGAATGGCGTAAATATCCTGTTATCTGCGACAAATACAACCGCATCTATCCGAACAAACTCTCCAAACCGTTCTGTGTCAGTACAGGAAAGGTCGCGAAACTCTTCGATTGTAGTACTCACTCGACTTGATTCACGAAGCATGTTCGAACGGAGTGCATTTGCTAGTCAATGGGCTCTACCGGGGACTTCCGTTCTTGTATCCATTGCAGCACATCTCATCCGGCAACCAGCTTTTCAGGTAATTTGTCACATACTTCGCTCCATTAGCTGATGTGTATTGTTTTGTTGTCCTCATTATGTTTTTAGACCGAAAGGGATGTTACGCTGCAAGTCGCCGCTGCTCTTACTGATAATATTATAGACGTGGATTAGTCGCTAAAGTCAAGCATATCTACTTCAGCTAGGGATCTTATGAGTGTATGCTCAAGATGAAACAAGTAGGTGAGTAAACGACGATGTGGTCCCTTGGAAATCATCTCAGCTACTAGACTGAATGCCTATAAAGTCGTCTTATTATCCCCAATATTTTATCTGCTTCTCAATTAGGAGTTGTCTTGATCCTTGACATACCTAGTCCAGAGTGTGTTATCAGGAGCATGTTGCTCAAATAGGACAGGAGAAGGCTTCTGCATCCAAGAGACATCCGAATGGCAAGATAAAAGCACCCCTCCGTGTGAATGTCTACTTAAGTATAACAATCCACTCTTCTTCACACATAAGACTCTGGAGGACAAACGAAGTACTATGGCTTTGGGAACAATGATAGAATGATAGAATAATGAGTCGAACAGCACATCGGTGCTTCGCGAATGGATGATGTAATGATGGGGTGCGTTTTAGTCTGGATGGCCCAGATTGATGGCCGTGACAGTTTCTAGATATGCAGAATTCCTTATATGTTTCAGCAAAATTGATGCTTATATAAGTGGTTGGTTGTTAGACACGGCAACACGCTTGACATTCTGCTACCCTATAAATTTGGTACCCATAATGGTTGTGCAATACTTCAACAAGGCACTTCAATACATATGGCCTCAATCAAACCCGAGAATGTTGTCCCTGAATGTGCATATTTTTGAGAAGCCGTCCGTTTTTGTAGACCGTATTTGAAACTGATCTGTTATCAGAGAGTTTCCTGTTATGACCGTCTGCTTCATTCTGTTGAGCGATTCATGGTGGTTTCGTAAACATATCTAAAATTACTACTTAATGACAACCGAATGAACAACGTGTCTGAGTGTTGCATACCTGTTTCAAGGGTTTGGTGCTGTTGGATTGTAGGACTGCAAGTCAGTTTTCGTCCGTGGACCGTGGATGGCGTTGTTCCACTGTATTTCAATAAAAAATAAAGCTGGAACAAAATAGCTGATGGGTCAAGTGTAACCTCCAAATTCGGCAACTCTACGGCAGATGAGAAATAGGGCAGCTTGGCTTGCATTTCACTGATTATAATTTGAGTATTTATGTCGCACATCGAGCTGTTAAGCATACGTTCATCAGTCATGCGTCATATCTATGTTTTACTGAAGTTGCTATTGAAAACCTGACATTGAGAAGCACACAGGAAAATCTGAACAATAACATAGTGATCTATTTTAAGCTTTTGGAAGTTGTTGGGGACATGTGATTCCTGTTCACACAGGTAGATTGTTTTTTCCTTTTCTAGCAATTACAGCTGAAGAGAGACTTGTTTTTCGCCTTCTTGGATAACGAGGCATTCGACTTCATGGGTTCGGGACGCTTAGCTTACGACTTACGAGAGAGGAATCTGGCTGCTTACACAGGAGTGCCGCTGGGTTGGGAACATGTCCATTCTTTTATTGAACTTGGTGAGCTGGGGCTAGCAGCGAAAAACCCACTCCCGACATACTACACGTTGGCGGACGAAAGCATATACGAGCAGGTAGGTTTTGTCCGGGTACTTCAACTGAAGTTTCATTCCCGATTTCCCTGCGGTTCACTTGTTTGGGTAATCGATGGTTATCCCGTCCAGGTAACTGCAACAATAGGTTGCGTGAAAGTCATTCCGACACAGTTTACTGTCTACTTATGCGCGAATACATGTGCAATGGGATCAACCGCTGATCAATGGACTCGTTCACAACGATGCTTAAACTTTGTATTTTTACATCCCACAATAAATTCCACTGGACCCATCACGCTAGAAGATATTAGTTAACGTTAACGTGTAATCCTTTCCCAGATAAAATATCAACAAAAAACCTGTTGCTGCTCATCCGAACAGTGCCACAGCTACCCACAACTAACGCATATTCAGTTATACTTGTCACGTTCTAAATTGCTTGCAGGTACAAGTAATTCCATGTACACAGCACCAGGCACCCAATGCTGATAACCACAGTTTCTAAACCCCTCTATGTTATCCTCCATTGTTATGTCGTCCACTTCAGTATCCGTGTCTTCCTGTCCGGACCACGCACCCTGAGTCGAGATCAGCTGATAGGAATGCACACTCTGACAGCTGCTTGATATCCCATCCAGCCTTAAATGAAATTTACCATCCGCAAGGACGTCAGCGGTTTGGACTCATCAATGAATCAGCTAATTTGACGGGGGCAGGCTTCGCCAACATCGAAATCGACTTCAGACCAGTATAACTTACATATTTTTGTTACAGGAACTTATCTACACAACGTTTGGTCTGAAAAAGCACCAGCTGAACTGCTTGTCCGTCTTCTATCCGCTCCTTAGAACTAAACAAGGCCAAAATCACGTTCATCTCAAATATGTTGATGTCGTGCCAATGCGACTCTACACATTACTTCCACCGGCAGGTTTAAAGACTCCGGACGCAGTTCCATCTCTTATTGGCTCCTTTTCCGGATCGCCTTTCACTTGCTATTGGTTGTAACAGAAATAGGAAGATAGCTTCTTAAGTGATTCATCCTGATGGCGGAATCCACCTCGGGAAAAGTCATTTCAACTGGTCATCTCTGTTACTCAGTTACCGTTCAGGGTAGTTGACATCGGAAACGAATCTGCCGACCAACAGTGGTTCCTCCTCTGGGCATCAGCACCACCTTGCGCGGAGGTGCTTTGGGTACTGAGTGTAGCCCTTGATACCGACGTAGATACCAGGGAGTAAGATTGGTGGCCGATTGCACTAACCATATAAATATACGCATGCACCGTTTTCGCGGAATATATTGTATCGTTAAGTCAGTGAACAACCAAGTGTGAAGACCTGTGAACTCTCAGGACTTCATCTGCCTCATAAACAAAATCCGACAATGAGTGACATTTGCCGAGTGACAGAAATCTGACAATCAACCACTGTCCATCCTGAACCCTCATGTTTAACATCGCTTCGTAGTTTTTCTTGGGTGCCATTCGAATAAACTTCAACAGCTGTACAAGCGGACCTACCAGCGGCGTTTCGTCATCTTGTTGCCTTCAGTGCACCGCGATCTTACTGTGATCATACTGTTTGTCCTTCCCATATTTTCAAGATACCCACCGATAAAACGTTCGCATAGGTCTGTCCACACGCAAATGTAGCGAATCTGATGTCGGTTGATTGAGGACGTGATAATGTCCTTTTGGGATTTAGCATACATTAAGACCGCAGAGAATCACTCAAGAGGCATCTCCTCTAAAGATGGTTAGTTAGCATAAGAGAAGGTGACTAAAACTACTATTCTAGACTGACGAGGATCGACCTGTGTTTGGCATCTGCCGCGTCTCATTTAGGAGTTAGAAGATTGACTTTTCATGTTTTGTGCACTTAGAGTTTATCTCCTGCTATGTGCTACGACCATTCGCATCGCTGAACATATGCGGTTCGCGGCTGTCAAACTGAGCTGAACTGTTCATGCTTTACAGACCAAAGTGGTTACGGATGAGCTTCGCGAACAACTGGCTGCCGCTAATGAACGTTTTGGTCAGATCAGTATTTCCCGTGCACCGGATTCCATTGCACGTCTGCCTTTACCACCCACAGCTTCTCTTCAAAGCCTTTTGTCAAGCGCCCCTCACCCACTTCCTCACATACTTCTGGCGGATCACGCTGGGCCACCACTGTGGGACAAGCATTTCGAAAGCTTCTTGGATTTCGTTTGGCCTCCGGATTCCGGTGCAGATCAAGTACTCTTAGTACTCGCGAATACATTGGCTGATGCACTTCATCGTGTAAGTCCTACAGATATCTTGTACCCATGCAAATCAGCGTAGTTTAAGGGATAAATGTTTTCACGGTCGACCGAACCTACTCACCCTATTTAAGCCAAGCAGTTCACGATTTGATTAAGCAGATGCGACAGGAGTTTAGACTGCGGTCGACGTCTTTCTTCCCCTGCTCACAACTTGTGTTAAACCTGTCATAATATTGAGATATCGATGAGATTCAGGCGCGAGCTTTTCGCCAGAAATGGTATGATAATGGTAATGTCTCAGTCCAATTTGCGGACCGATCTTCTCAAGCATTTTCAGCAAAAAACCAAGGATTCACAAAGCGTATTAAACACCAAAAACTTTGTCAAAACACGTGTAAATTGTGTCGATTTCGAACTGCGTACGGCGACAATATTCTGGGGGATTCGGACGCCTTTTTGACGTACCATTTGCAACTGGCATTTAGCAGATACCTAATCACGATTTGCTGTTGGGTCCACACTTTCAGCTAATTGGAGCTCGCCTTGATGCTGGACCAGCAAGCAGCCCGATCATCTGGCCGGTCACATGTGAGTTAGGCTTTTCGGCCGTGATCGCGCCTAACTATGGGCGCTACAGCGGTTCTGGTGCAAGGTTTCGCCTAAGAAAAGTTAATCGATTGCATCTACTTCTGTCGGGCTGCAGACAACTCTCGTGCTTCCTATGGTCGCGTGACACCTACTTACTGGTAGATGTGGTTTTTAGCGTAGGGTTGATCGCACAATATAGCTATAGACCAATTCTTATAAATTCCTCAATTTGAAATCCAAGCAACATGGCTACCTCAAATGAGCTGGTTCTGGCTCGCATTCGTCTCCCTCTGGAACGTTCTTGGAGATCGCGCTTTTCCACTGAATTCTCTACTTATAGGTCTCGAACTGGCTGATTGATTCACCTCTTCCAATTCAAAACCTCACGTGTGTTTACTTAACGGAACGCACTGCTCACAGGGTTGCTGAAAATTCGTCGACAGCTTACGACCAGTATCGCATTTCTTGGGGCTCATCAGGCAAGCCCAGTACCCGAATTTCCTGGACACCAAATTGTGCGCAATTAGCGAAGTACAATGATTTACCCCAATAAGGTTAAACTGGTCGTGGAATGTCCAAGGGTTTTTGTCAATCTTATGACCAGTATTCCATCTAGAGAATATACTGTGATATCTCCAGTACTGTATCAAGTGAAACATGAGGCTACCCTTGTTGAAGACTAGCATAAACGAGAGACTCAGCTAGGATACAGTGGAGTCCCTCGTTAACACTAACTTGATCTGCACATTGGTGTGTTTCGCTAATCACGCATGTGCTGCCATAGAATTTAGGGAACTGGTCCCAGTTTCCCCGCTACGTTCGCCGGTGTTTTAACATAAGGGAAAAGGTTGGAATAACGAACCACGTAAAATTCCGATAGGCTGGAATTGGTACTCACCTGGATTGTGTTGCATGCTGCTCGGTTTTTTATCCGACACAGCATACAGTCCAGCTAACGCTCCCCCTTATTTAGGTGACCATTACAGTTGTTTTAGTGGTTTTCGGTGCGTTCAATCCACTGGTGTGTAATGTGTTGGAATATTGGTAGCTCGGGTCTACTAGTTGGTAATTGATCAGGTGGCTGTTGATCTGTTAGCCGAGCTTGGCAATTGATTTGCAAGCGTTTCGTCACCATTCGAGGAGACATCTTCAGTGCGCACTGAATAGTATTAGGAACACAAATAGCGTAACAGCATGTTACTGACATCCTACACACAAGACCCAATTAAGTAGCTATTTTCCAATGGAGTTGGATGTGTACTGCTTCCTCATTTGTCACAACCTTTGACATCAATCATTGGGATACTGTCTCCTAGCGTTTAGATGGCAGTTACAAAGGTCGTCTGTCGAGAAACTAGAATCAGTTGTAATCCTCCCCTGCCCACCCCCTACGTGAAACTGTCATCAGTGGGTGACTGCTAGTTCACACATTGATAATGAAATCTACGCGTAGCCAATGTACCACCAGACAAATAATACAATGTCTTATGTCGTCCCCAATCAATTTTCACGGAGCGGGCCTATGGTTGACGATAACATGTGGGCAACTGTCTCGTTTTGGATAGGCCATTCGCCGATCAAGCAGTCACTGTGACGTTCGCTTTAGTTCAACAGGGCAGATGTTGCACCTCTCGGTTCATTATAAATGTTTCCCGAAGTTTCACCAAGTAGACATTTTTATAGCCATCTTGGCTTTGCAGTGTCACCAATCTGGTATGCACAACAAAGATTTTCTAGTGAAACTTCGACATTCGAGTACTTTTTGCCATTCTGGAAGTTGGTTCTAATAATCCTTTCCCCATTTTCTAACAGTTGGTTGTGAAAGACTCACTCCCCATGCCCGCCAACATTAGCCACCCCACTCCTGGAGATTTGATGCTGTGTTTCGTGAACAACGTTACCTGTGATCTTTTGAGAACTGTGAGTTTACCATCCGTTTGTTCGTAATCTCTATACTGTAGCCGTACGTATGTTAATGTCCCGCCAAGAATATCTCGTAAAAGGTATGTTGTAATGTGAAGTTCATATGCACTGGAGCCTGGCTAATCGATATAGCGGTCACCCATTGTCACACTCTGTGAGAGATGATTACAGTAGTTTACTTTGTTTCCGAGTTATACGCATACCTGATCTGTCTACTGGTTTACTCTAATGTTTGTGAGTATTCAGACGAAACTGGCACCTGATTCACTGTGGCAATTGTATGCGATGATGCGTATCCTTAACGTGTCAGCTGCAGCTACAATCAGTTTATTAACTCTGCTCCACGGTCTTGTCAGTCAGACCTTTCAATTTTGACAGTGGCAAGCCTGGCAAGAAAGCCGTGGCGGATTTTGGAAGGAATTCGCTGCACAATAATGTACCGCGGTAACTGCGATTTAGGAGTACGTTTGTGCATTTTAGCCTCATCCTACAGATCCCAGTTGCTCTGACAAAGTGTACTCCTAGTAATTTTCTTTTCGAAAATATCTAAGGTGATGCACTTCAGAACTCCATGAAGAAGCCATTTGGTGGGGTCAATCAAAGGTCTTCTAGGAGTAAATTAAAAAACGAAAACTGTAATTTACGGAGAGTCAACTTCATGGTGATACATCTTTCTTCAACTACATAGGTTTTAGCTCTTTGAGAGGTACCATATCTGGAAGCTTGAGATTACTTACAGTGTCGAAGATCTCGGCTTACTCTCGCAATGAAATTCCTTCGTTGGCTTAGTTAATGTTTATCATCACATCTGCTTCATCTGACAGATGTGTATTTCATTATTCCCAGTGAAGATTATTTGCTATGGTTTATTCAAAATCCGCTTCTAGTAATGTTACTTCAAAATCTCAAATAACACCCACCACACTTTATGAATCCTTACATACAAAGACTATCGGTCATTAGTTCAAAATCTCCCGGTAGATATTTTCACAGTTACCGTTTCCTTGATGCGTGGTTTCAGCCTGAGGTGCAACATTCTGTCGAATGGTAATCCAATGCATATTGGTGTCGAGCTGTCATGCTTAGACCGACTCACTGCTAGCACTTGGCTTGTGTGTTCAGCACCAGGATTCCAACAACGTTGTTGCCGTCTTTGACGATGGGGATAATATGCTCTTGCGCGAATCGTAATCCCTTGGGCCACTATCGGTGCCATGGACTCGCACTTAGCGACACGTACGGCGCGAGCCGTGTGTGAATTGATTTATTTGTTATCCAATACGATTTCATATTTCGTTTTTGACGTTCAATTAGTGGAGATTAGGTTGCACTTGAACACGTGGCTTAGTCTGATGCGTAGTTAGCTCAAACTCGTATTTATTTATTCAGCGACAGAAGATTCCCTGTGGCTCTATTCTTCGTCTGACTCCGATAACTAGTAACCGGATTCAGAAAGTGTTGGCGCGTCCGGCGACTCTTTCCAGTAATCGATGTCGGCGTGATAGACTGAAGATGCAAGGCGATGCAGTTAGTTAAACCCAAGTTGATTCGATAACGCACGGGTGAGGTTGATAGTGTCTTTCGCCCATCAGGAGGCTGAACGTGTAGACCATTTTATTGCAGTCAACGATAATACTCAGGGTGAGCTCCGCTGAGATTGGGGGAGAATATGGTAGTGAGTGTGGTTGTCGACTGCGCTTGGCAGTCATTCCCATACAGAAAGAACGCACATTTGATAGGGTTACCCGCGCAAGTAAACGATTTCTGGCATCGGTTAGTTCAGCTCAACACAACCGCGAACCGTGCATTCGGGTGGACGAAGCTCATGGTAGTGGGTAATGTAAGATAGGTGGGAATCGAAATCATTTTAAAATGGAAAAGATCAAAGGGTTAATTAACAAGAACAAGAGAATGGATACATCACTACTCGCTGCGTGACACTGCCGTGTCTGTGGTCCGAGTCGATAAGTAGTCATTCTAGGGGATGATAGATTTTCACGTACTCAACTGCCTGCCTATTGAACACCGCAGTTGCTCAAAACCTTATTTATACCATTCTGAGAATGTCAACCATGCAGTAACATACCTCCTGTAGAAACTAATTAGCGGAGCTATCTTTTTACTTGCGTTGAATAGATATGACGCCAGAAAACGCTAAGGTCGAGATAGCTCTGTGTTTAAGGCATCAGCTTACGGACGGGTAAGTGCGTAGTTCGAACCCGACCTCAACATCCCAATTGCTCCTGTCCAGGCTAGGGTAGCCTGGCATTATCCCAGCCCTCGTACCTCCTTCCGTTAGCATGGCAGTTAGGCACCGATTATCTTATACACATATTGACCTATGTATTTAGGCTGCACTTATCCCGCCTCTGTTAGGTGGCTCTCGATTATCTGTCAACGGTCAGTAAATTTCAAGCTACTGGGTCCAAATTAATTAGAAATCAGATTTCTGACTAATTTTGATGTGTTAGTTAACAATTTAGTATAGTCCAGATTGTTTATTATTCTCCCGGCAGCTGGTTCCTGTGACAGGAGTTGCTTCATAGATATCCCATTGGTTGTTGATCAGGTGGCTGTTGAACTGTTCGCCGAGCTTGGCAATACGAGGAGACATCAACTGCGCCCTGATGATGTCTCCTCGTATGGCGACGAAACGTTTGCAAGCCAATTGCCAAGCTCGGCGAACAGATCAACAGCCACGTGATCAACAACCAATTAACTCACCCGAGCTACCGATATTTCAACGCAGAGATATCCTATACTTTCGAAGTCAACGAGCGGCGGTCAGACGCCAAGTTCGGAGTGTTTTGGTTATTGCTTTTGTTCAACTCTCATTGGTAATCGTTGCGTTATACGTAGTTTTGCTCTGGTCACTTTATCAGCAGAGTGAATTTTCATTCTCCCCGTTGCAGTTTCTCAGTCCCGGTGACCTGCATTTTCTGCAAAGCTTGAAAACTCCTATCCCTGCACAATCCTACCTGCCATTGGATAAACATGAATTGAAAATTTCCCATATCATTAGCGTTTTGCTCATGGGATTAACCGGCGAGCGGACGGCAACGCGTGATTGTCCAGCTGGTGCTGAAAGCATTGGTCCGTACGTCTACCTGATGGGGTGTAAGTGATCATGTCCAAAAAGTGTCAGCTTATAGCCTCTAGACCAATTCTCCTAGAACAACCGTTTACCTGTAACAAACGCATAGCCCAAAACTGCTAATCGGTTTCTCGTTCGCACGAATATGTATCTTAGGCCCTCCTGCATCAGAAGTGCGTTTTTTAAACGTAATCGTTACCAATATTAATTTCAACAAATGCGAGTTCCACGCCTACTTCATTTTAGGCAATGCTGTCTAAACTTCGTTAGTTTAACTTGTCGCTTGTCAGGCAGCGCTGTCCGACTGATGAGTTGTAACGAGTTATTTATCCGAAGTCTTCAACGCAATGCAGTCCGCTCCATGAACGAATAGAAATGATCTCACGAAGACTGAGGTCCGTCCCCATAAGATTTAGTTTGGAAGCCTTTTTCAGCAACACACAAGAAATACTACACTAGTGATCATACGGGAACATTCAAATGGTATCAGGAGAACGCGCATGCATTTTCCTCGAGCTCCTACATCAGATGCATGTCTGGATGTTCGCTTTTCAATAACACTTGCCCCTAATTACTTCGGAACCTTCACCCAGAGTGTACTCATCTTGTGCATGAACTGGGATGGACTAACCACCGAACGTCGTAACTCAGCACAGTACTTCTGCTTTGTAACCCCCCCCCCCAAAGCACACTGTTTACCATGTTGGGCTAATATTGAATCATATGGTTCCGGACACGTGCTGGGTGAGTCTCAGTGTAAGGGCAGTCAGATAAGTGTAGTGTAAACAGGGGTAACAGAGAAGTGGTCATGGGCAAAGTACGACTTGGATGAACTACCACGACTACATATAGTTTGACTCGCATTTCTTTTTTTAGAAATCGGGTTGGTCTAATGACCAATTGCGTTTTTAATAAGGTACCGCAATCGCGTTCGTTAACGTACTTATACCGATTCCCCTTAGAATGTTCTTTTTCAGTGTGCGGACTTCAACCGTCTATTACCTTCACACATTTGATAAAATATCAGTCTGTGAAGCAACGTATTCATTGACCTTATCAACGGAAATGCCAGCAAGGAACAACCTTCCCCCCTATATAGGATCCCAGTTAGGCTTTCAAATGGGAAGTGTGCTTTCTGGAGGCTGGCTGTTTTTCAATGAAAGGTACACCGCAATTTATTATTATATTACTCACCTATCGCGCGTAAACCTCCAAGTTTTCAGTTCTCGTCCTGATCATCTGAATGTATCTTCCTATTAAATTTTCAGACTACAATGGAACTGAACAGTGCTATCGCACTTTGCTAGACCTGGCGATGCGGTTCGCGCTATTCAGGGACGGAGTGCCAGCTGCTCCAGCGTGGATGCGAAGTAGGCTGCTTCCAGGAGAACGATATGTTCGTTGGTATAGGAGCTCGTCTTTGACCATGGATACTGTGAGCGTTAGCCTTGGCGTGCTTTTGATCTTACTAACGACTTGTACTGCCCTTCTAATACAAAAGAAGATGAGCATACAAGTTGCACGACAGAAGCCAACCAGCATTGTTGAAATCGACGGATTGCAACGGATGGACACAACTAATGTTTCATCAACTTGAACCAAAAGGCGCTTGTAAAGTTATCGTGACTTTTTAATTAACAAACAACTGATCTAAAATACATCAACTTTTTCCCACAGTCTTGGCCTGCTTCCGTTCATGGGCCATTTTCTTCGCCCTTTCAACGGAATTCACTAGCGCGGAGTTCTCCGCGAGGATCTTCATAAGGTCGATGATCAAGGGCAAGTAGTTGTGTCGGCGTCTGGTGTTTTCTTGACGGTATGAGACGGCTTTCTCTTTTTCCCGTTCGATATTTTTCTCCAATTCGCGGACAAGTTCGGCAGATTCCTAGAAGGCAGAAATACGTGCATATAACATAACTTCATAGATTAATGGCGATCAGAATGTAACCAAATTCAAGTAATGAATGGTCTATACAACGGAAAACTTGAGCGCGGTCATGACTGGCCGTTTTCCTACGTAATTGTGAGTCGAAGAGATTTCACTGGGCAGTTTACGACCAGTTTTCCGAAACCGGATGATTCAGCAAACTGCCCAATCTTAGCTTGGGAGATTCCCGGGCGGCACACAAACGGACATAACCCGGAAAACGTTTGTGGCAGAATCATATGACCAGGCTGATTTTCAATCTCAGGTCAGCCAAAGCTAGCCATCACATTCCGCTGTAAATCAACTGCACACCAAGACTCTTCGAATGCTGTCTGCTATCCATTACTTTGTCTATGTATTCACTACTTTGGAGCAGGTCGACTTTTGTTTTGTACAGGCGGTAGGGAAGCTCGCAACAGGGTAAGACGCGACAGTGTATTGCTGGTAAAGGTTAGAGTGCACCAGTCATTCATTAGCTCTGGAGTTGGATATTTTTAAACAAAACCATACCACGCAAACGCAGCCCGATTACACCGAAAATTCGTGATCCTGCATGACGCTAGACACTTAGCTCGTTTTAATGATAAGTACTTGGTGCGCGGGGTTGTCCTACGACGCCACATTTCATCTCCACAACTAACCCTTCCAATCGCGTTATTAGATAAAATTCAACAGGCATACTAAAATCAGACAATCCTGTGGAGTCGTTTTGGTCATGTGGTCAAAGCGACCGATTTCAAGCACTTGTGGGTCACCAGAAGTGCGACCCATAAAACTACAAGCGAGTGCACTTAACGAATATCTCAGAGCTTAATGATGTTACGGAACATTCCAAAGATCCTAACATACCCAAGCGAATTCATTTCCGAGCACTTTTAGATGATGTGGTTGGAGTTTATGTGCTCCTAAAATAGGGTAAGGCGCGGCTTTAACGACTGGGCCTACCGGTAACGCGCATTAGCGGAATGCCTTTGGCCGTTTGACCTGTAGCAGTCAGAAGTTAGACGGAGTGACTAGCTTGTGTGATGGCGTAACCGCGATTAACCGAAACAGCTGGAAAATATTGGTTGAAGCAAAGTGCTCCACTTGAGCAGTCGTAAACAAGCGCTGTCTAGTAGCCGGCAACAAAGGTTAGTTTAACACTGCTAGGGTACTACCGCCCGTTTCATTGTAACGCTGGGCAAGACATTGAAATTGTGGTGATACGGTTTGCAAGCGAAAGTAACTATCCAAACATCACTCGCACGTGCCATCAGCCGGGCGAGTAAACAAAAACGTGTTACTGCTGACGCCTTCCTTCTTACACTTTCGCGTTTTCCGTCTTTCACCCAACGCATCAAAATTTAAATACTTTTCCGCAGGTCCCAGCACTAGGACTGACCATTTTGCTCGCGCTACATCACAATTAACAGCAGCTTCTGTACGTCCAAGTTCAGTGAGAACCCTAAACAGTTTGAAGTCTGTTTTCAAACACAAAGCCTGTCTACTTAGCAGCCTTTAATGTTTGCACACTGAAGCAAGCAGGTCAACAGGCGGCTCTTGCTCGTAAGCCGGATTCCTTCTGCATTGGTGCATGTTGTCCGTCAGAAACAGAGATGCAAGACGCAGGTACTGATCGAACTGACTACCTCCTCGCTCTTTCAGGTTCCGGCAGCTGCAGCTGGCTATACTGGGGTGGTATTGTATTGAGCGACGGGGCGGAAGCGCCTCTGCTTGGTTGGATAAAAAAAATCGTTCAGCTGTAACACCCCTTCGACTTCTAGCTGCAATGGCAGACGGAAGCACGAGGGCAGGGATACTGCCAGGTTGCCCAATCCTAGATACGGGAAGTCGAGAGGCAGAGGTCAGGTTCGAACCACGGACTTTTCAATCAGTAAATTCGTGCTCTAACTACTGAGCCATCTCGCGCCTTGACTGGATACCCGTTGATAGTCGCCTCTGTGGGGTTTGTCTGGCAACATCTGTGAGGGAAGCCATAGAAAGTGAGGTCCATCGCATCTTACTTATTGTGTCTGCTTACGCCCCAACTGACTGTAGCTCAACAGGGTATGCCCCAGAAGTTTGTGAACATAGTCCGAGTCCTATATTCACATACTTCTGGGCGGGCGAGTGAATGATGAGCTCTCCGACAAGGATTCCCACTCTCTTCAACTTCGTAATTGATGAAATAATAAGCCGAGCGCTATAACTTCAAAACCTCGGTGTTCAAATTGTTGCTAGTGAGAGTCCTGTCTATCTGGAGTACATAGACGATATCGCCCTCATCTTGGAAGAACAAGGCGAAACACAC